GTCTACTAAAAATAAAATTAAAAAAAAAATTAGCTGGGCATGGTGGCGGGCGCCTGTAGTCCCAGCTACTGGAGAGGCTGAGGTAGGAGAATGGTGTGAACTGAGGAGGTGGAGCTTTCGGTGAGCCAACATTGCGCCACTGCACTCCAGCCTGGGCGACAGAGTGAGACTCTGTCTCAAAAAAAAAAAAAAAAAAAAAAAAAAAAATTAGCCGGACGTGGTGGCAGCCACCTGTAATCTCAGCTACTTGGGAGGCTGAGGCAGAAGAATTGCTTGAACCCAGGGTGCAGAGGCTGCAGTGAACCGAGATTGCGCCTAAGTAACAATAACTTGGGTGACAAGAGGGAAACTCTGTCACAAAAAAAAAAAAAGAAAAGAAAAGAAAGGGGAGGGGAAGGAAGGAGGAGGGGAGGAGAGGGGTGGGGAGGGAAGGGAAGGGAGGAGAAAGATAAAGAGAGAGAGGAAGAATGAAATAAAGAAAGAGAGCAGGAAGGAAGGGAAGGGAGAGGAGAAAAAGAAAGCAAGAAAGAGAGAAGAAGGAAGGAAGGAGAGAAAGAAAGAGAGAGGAAGGAAGGAAAGGAAAGAGAGAGGGAGGGAAGAAAGAAAGAAAGAAAAAGAAAGAAAGAGGGAGGGAGGGAAGAAAGAAGAAGGAAGGAAGGGGAGAAAGAAAGAGATAGAAAAGAGAGAAAGAAGAAAGAAGAAAGAGAAAGGGAGGGAGGGAGGAAGGAAGGAAGGAAAAGAGAAAGAAAATAAAGAACTGCTAGGAAGAGCTAACTTTCTAAATGCTTTGGCATGTGTTACCGACACATGACAATGATAGATCAAATGTTGTAATTGGAATCCTATTTTCCCACTAGTTCTAGAAACTGGGCAGGTAAAGATTTCTGGCTTCTCCTTGATCTTCTAATGGACTGGACCTCATGTTAATTTGTTTGCCTTTCAGACTTACTGCATAGGAATTAGTCACCTGAAAACCAACACTTTAATACAAGAAATAGAGCTGCTATTTGAGAAACCTTTTGATGAATTGTTTTGCAAATTAGTTTTGCGATGTGAATAACCATCTTTTATTTTGAAACAGGGTCTCGCTCTGTCTCAAAATGAGTGAGAGTGCAGTGGCTGGAACGCAGTGGCTTGCTTTTGGCTCACTGCATCCTCCCACTCCCTGGCTCAAGGGATCCTCCCACCTCAGCCTCCCAAGTAACTGAGGCTATAGGTGTGCCCCACCACACCCAGCTAATTTTTGTATTTTTTATAGAGACAGAGTCTTGCTGTGTTGCCCGGCTGATCTGAAACTCCTGAACTCAAGCAGTCCACCTGCTTTGGCCTCCCAAAGTGCTAGGATTATAGGTGTGAGCTACTGCACCTACCCCCATCTTAATTTTTTTAAAGGAAGTTTTTAATTGTTTTCAAATGGACTTTTCTAATGCTGTTTAGACTAGTGATACCTTTTATGTGTCAGAAATCAAATGCAAAGCATGACTGACTTTTTTTTTTTTTTCTCTCCAGAAACAAGGTCTCACTCTCTCACCCAGGCTGGAGTGCAAGTGGCATGATCTCGGCTCACTGCAACCTTCACCTTCTAGGCTCAAGGGATCCTCCCACCTCACCCTCCCAAGTAGTTGGGACTTCAGGCACATGCCACCACGCCCAGCTAATTTTTGTAATTGTTATTTTTTGCAGAGATGGGATCTTACTTTGTTGCCCAGACTGGCCTTGAATTCCTGGCCTCAAGCAATCCTCCTGACTCAGCCTCCCAAAGTGCTGGGATTACAGGCATGAGCCACTGTGTCTGGCCCGAACTCTTATATTAGCATCTTGTTCTTGGAAATATAGAAAGATTATACAAAACATTCAAACTATGTCTTGAAATCTCAGGTGTCTGACAGTAACCACTGGGATAAAGGCTAATCCCATCCCAACAAACCCCAACACATAATCCGGATTCCCGCTTGCATTACATGTGCTTTATTTTTATGTATGTATGTATGTATATATTTACTTTATTTTTTGAGACAGAGTTTCTCTCTGTCACCCAGGCTAGAGTGCAGTGGCACAATCCCAGCTCACTGCAACCTCTACCTCCCGGGTTCAAGGGATTCTCCTGCCTCAGCCTCCCAAGTAGCTGGGATTACAGGGGCACAACACCATGCCCGGCTAATTTTTGTATTTTTAGTAGAGACAAGGTTTCACCATGTTGGCCAAGCTGGTCATGAACTCCTGACCTCAGGTGATCAGCCTGCCTTGGCCTCCCAAAGTGCTGGAATTATAGGCATGAGCCACCACACCCGACCTGCATTGCATTTGCTTTAAATAAGCAAACCATCTGCTGAGATTTGGAGAGCCTTTAACCCGTACAAATATCTTTTGTTGTTAGGGCACTTATTATGAAAACATTTTAAAGATTCAGATATTATTTCATAGGTACTTTATCATTTTGAAATTTGACCTATACAAATGTTGTTTCCAATGAGATTTTAAAAAATAAAAACAGAACTGTAATCTCAGACAACAAGGAGGCTGAGACAGGAGGATCGCTTGAGCCCATAAGTTTGAGACCAGCCTGGGGAGCAAAGCAATACCCCCATTTCCACAAAAAATTAAAACTTAGCTGGCCATGGTGGCATGCAACTGCAGTCTCACCTACTCAGGAAGCTGAGGGACAAGGATTGCCTGAGCCCAGTAGTTTGAGGCTGCAGTGAGCTATGGTGGCACCACTGCACTCCAGCCTGAGCAACAGAGGGAGACCCTGTTTCTAAAAATAAACAGAGCTCTCTCCATGGCAAAGCAAGGCACAGCTACAGACCCTTTCTCTCTCTCAAAGAAAAGGCCAAACTCAGCCAGGGTCATGCTCTAATTCTGGGCAGTCAAGGCTTTACCTGTAGGTGGTGGTTACTACCCTGGCCCTGAGAGTGGGAGAAACTGCCTGGCTCCCAGTGAAATGGCCCTTTCCTGTCCGCCTTTTCCCTGTGAGGGTTCATAGCATCTCCTCATAGCATAGATTACTTACTATGTGAGGGAAATAGAGGGTCTGCCTGGGTATCACACAGTACTGTGTAACGCAGTAATGTAATTATCACTGTGTAATGCAGTTTTGCATGGAAAATTAGTTCAGGTTCCCAACAACAAACTGTTGAAATTCAGCCTGTTTTAGTTTGGAGCCTGTGAATGCAGCTTCCTCCTGATGTGCCTCACTTAAATAAATGCTCTCCATACATAATGCCTTGTGTCATTAAGAGCATCAGTCTCCAACCAGACTTCCTGGAGTCAGACCTTGATTCCACCACTTTTTCCGAATGTACCTGGAGCAATTTATCTAATCTCTCTATGCCTCTGTCTTCTGATAGATAAAATGTATGTAAGAGGCCGCATGCAGTGGCTCACCCCTGTAATCTTAGCACTTTGAGAGGCTGAGGCAGGCTGATCACCTGGGGTCAGGAGTTCGAGACCAACCTGGCCAACATGGTGAAACCTTGTCTCTGCTAAAAATACAAAAATTAGCCAGACATGGTGGTGCATGCCTGTAATCCTAGCTCCTCAGGAGGCTGAGGCAGGAGAATCAGTTGAACCCAGGAGGCAGAGGTTGCAGTGAGCCCAGATCACGCCACTGCACTCCAGCCTGGGCAACAGCGTGAGAATCCATCTCAAAAAAAAAAAAAAAAGGAGGGGGGATAAGAGTAATAATTTTGGGGCCAGGCGCAGTGGCTCAAGCCTGTAATCCCAGCACTTTGGGAGGCCGAGACGGGCGGATCACGAGGTCAGGAGATCGAGACCATCCTGGCTAATACGGTGAAACCCCGTCTCTACTAAAAAATACAAAAAACTAGCCGGGCGTGGTGGCGGCGCCTGTAGTCCCAGCTACTCGGGAGGCTGAGGTAGGAGAATGGCGTAAACCCGGGAGGCGGAGCTTGCAGTGAGCTGAGATCCGGCCACTGCACTCCAGCCTGGGCGACAGAGCCAGACTCCGTCTCAAAAAAAAAAAAAGAGTAATAATTTTGGGTTGGGCACAGTGGCACCAACCTGTAATCCCAGCATTTTTGGAGGCCCAGGCAGGAGGATCACTTGAGGTCAGGAGTTTGAAACCAACCCAGGCAACATGGCAAAACCCCATTCTACAAAAATGTACAAAAATTAGCAGGGTGTGGTTCTGTGTACCTATAGCATAGACAGTCCCTGATTATACTGTAATAAGATAGTCAGGGACTATCTATACTATAATAAGGACTGTTCCATATCTTTATTCACAAGCCTTTTAGTCTTGGATGAACTACATAAATGGGCTGAAACTTAGTGTCCTGATTTGTAAAATAGTATGGACAGTTCCTGTCCATATGAGTGAGCCACTGCGCCTGGCCCCCTTTTTTATCTTCTATGTATATGTTTGTTTACAAAGTTGGGATTGTATTTTTTTACATATACTTTATTATTTTCACTTAGCATAATAACATGAACATTCTTGCACATAAAAGCCACACCTTTTATTCATGGATTTTCACACCTTTTACAATAAAAGAAGTTGATTTCAGGCCGGGCACAGTGGCTCACGCCTGTAATCCCAACACTTGCGGAGGCCAAGGCAGGCAGATCACCTGAGGTCAGCAGATCACCTGAAACCAGCCTGGCCAACATGGTGAAACTTCGTCTCTACTAAGAATACAAAAACTAGCCAGGCATGGCAGTGCACGCCTGTAGTGCCAGCTACTCGGGAGGCTGAGGCAGAAGAATTGCTTGAACCCAGGAAGCAGAGGTTGCAGTGAGCCAAGATGGTGCCGCTGTACTCCAGCCCAGGCGACAGAGCAAGCCTCTGTCTCAAAAAATGAAATAAAAGAAGTTGATTTTGGTAATAGTTTTTCTAAGAATGAAATAAAATAAAAGAAGTTGATTTCGGTAATAATTTTTCCTAGAAAAGGAAAATTTGGGTGAGGGGATATATTAATATATTCTCTGAATCTAATTTGATTCAAATTCTTTGTTTTTTCCTCCCATCTTGCACCTTCCAGAAAGTCCTATGAGTTTGAAGATTTACTGCAGTCTTCCTCTGAGAGCAGCAGGGTGGACTGGTACGCGCAGACTAAGCTGGGGCTGACACGTACTTTATCGGAGGAGAACGTCTATGAAGACATTCTAGGTAAGAGGCCACAGCGTCTGTGTGTGGGTCTGAATCTGTCTGGGAGAAAGGGGAGGGAGAATGGGGCTGGCTGCTGGAAACACACATGCAGACACTCGAAGACACCTGTGCACTCGGATGAGAGAGCAGGCAGGTGGGTGGGAGAGCGAGCCTCGCAGGATATGCGAGAGACTGTGGGGCTGGAGGGGGAAGACTGGCTGGTGATACGTGGCCAAGGAGGCAGTGTAGCAGCATGGCGTAGCAAGAAGCGTGGGGCCTAGAGTCTGAAGATCCAGAACCACGTCTTGGCTCTGCTGCCTATTGGCCGCAGGACTTTGAGCGGGTGACTTCACGTCTCCGAATGTCAGTTCTCCCATCTGCCTAATGAGAATGAAGCTAGCTCCCTTGCAAGGTTAAGGACTGGAGAGAATGGTATGTCAACTCCCTCACTTGTGATAGATGCTCAGCCAACTGCAGGGATTACTGAATGAAAGAAAACACTACACACCAGAGCCTCCTTCAGAAACTGTCAGAGTGTGGCACTAACGGCATCAGAACACAGACTAAATGCATGTCTGTGATTTAAAAAGTAACTTGGGCTCCAAAGCTTCCTCTGAGATTTCAGAGCGGGTCTCAGATTCAGAGTTTGGTGAGTTCAGTCATCTTCAGGGAGGTTGATGGTTTTAGTCAAAGGCGAATCCAACTGCTTATGGGGGGTGAGGGCTGGGGGAAGAAACAAGCTGGTAAAAGGGAGAAACCCGTATGTGTGTGCCAGTGAGGGGCAGGTAGGGTGGATATACGCAGACATGCGGGCATGTAATCATCAATACTAGAAAAAACTTGCAAAAGGAGGAAATAGAACATTTGAGGAAGGGCAGATACTGAGCTAAGCAATTGGAATTGCATGTGTCCAGGCTGCTGGAGATGGGCTCCTGCCAAAGCAGCAGGATTCCCAGATCTGAAGCGGGAGAGAGATCTGGACTTCTCTTAGCAGTGGCTGCCTAAGAGGATGCTTCAGTTATAAGGAACAGAAAACTCAACTCAACTAGCTTTTCCTTCCTCCATTTATTTTCTTTCTTTCTTTTTTTGAGACAGGAGTCTCACTCTGTTGCCCAGGAGTGCAATGGCACAATCTCGACTCACTGCAGCCTCCGCCTCCTGGGTTCATGCGATTCTCCTGCCTCAGCCTCCCAAGTAGCTGGGATTACAGGCACCCACCACCACGCTTGGCTAATTTGTTTGTGTGTGTGTGTGTGTGTGTGTGTGTGTGTGTGTGTGTTTAGTAGAGACGAGGTTTTCCCATGTTGCCCAGGCTAGTCTCAAACTCCTAGGCTTAAGTGATCGACCCACTTCAGCCTCCCCAAGTTCTGGGATTACAGGTGTAAGCCACCACACCCAGCCTCCTTCCTCTATTTCTTACCTCTCAGGTTAGCTTTATTCTCAGCAGGCTTCCCAGGATCCCCACAGTGGCTGCCACCAGCTTCCCGGAATTCATATCTTCCTGGTGGAGAGAAGAGCTTATATCCTGCCATTCCCACCAGAAATCCTGAGGTTCACCCTCATTAGACCAGCCGAGGTCCCTTGTTCACCTTTGGAGCCCAGGAAGGCCATGCAGTGATATCCCCTTAGGCTTAGAATATGAGCCCTTCCCTGAACTGATCACTGAGGCAGGGATTTGGGATACCTAGATTAGCTAAAGCATTGAAACTGAGAATGGAGTTAATCTCCCATGGCCACAGATGAAGAGATGGAGAGGTAACCTGGTGAAATCAGGGGCTGCTACCAAGAGGAGGGGCGCATGGATGGCAAACAGCAGGGACCGAGACAGGAGAGGCCAAGATGCTGACCTCAGTGTTTCGAAAAGGGAAATGTCCTCAGTGTTCCCAGATTCCTGACACATTGCCTTTAAACACAGATCCGCCAATGAAGGAGAACCCTTATGAGGACATCGAGTTACACGGTCGCTGCCTGGGAAAGAAGTGTGTCTTGAATTTTCCTGCTTCTCCCACCTCTTCCATCCCTGACACGCTCACCAAGGTATGAGTCCCCAGGGAGTGGTGGCAAGAGGGGCCGCAGCACAGTGACCTTGAGCACTCTGGCGTTCCGGCCGGCGCTGGAATTCCAGGCCACCCCCACTTGCCCTGCCAGGCTCCTGGATTTGTACATCGCTGGCTGACTGGTTTATCTGCCTCTAGTTCTCTTGGAGCCCCCCTGCTCAAAAAAGCTTCCTAAAATACCATTGAGCTTCTGGCTCAGAAACCTCCTCAAACAGGGTAAACAAAAGATGTACATCTGTCTCATACAACTGTTAAGAATGTCTTAACATAGAGCACACTCTAAGATACAAGATGGAAAGGCATGATGTAGAACAGTAGTTTTAAAGTATTTGTGGGTTGTTGTTGTTGTTGATTTAATTGAGTCAGGGTGTTGTTGCTCTGTCACCCAGGCTGGAGTGCGGTGGTACAATCACGGCTCACTGCAAGTGAACTCCCAGACTCAATAATCCTCCCAACTCAGCCTTCTAAGTACCCGGGTTTATAGGCACATGCCACCAGCCCAGCTGATTTTTGTATTTTTTGTAGAAACGGGGTTTCACCATGTTGGCCATGTTGATCTTGAACTCCTGGGCTCAAGTGATTGACCAGCCTTGGCCTCCCAAAGTGCTGGGATTACAGGCGTGAGCTACCACGTCCAGCCTGTGGGTTTCTTAATGAAAAAAATATACATATATGTAAACTCACACATGTCTGTATGTGGGTTTTTTAGTGAAAGAATATGCATATATAAAAATATGAAAGAATATACATATATGTAAACTCACACATGTATGTATAAGAATATATCCATCCCCAATATTGGAGGTGAAAAAAAAAAATCTCTGTGTGGATGCCCAAGCATGAGGAACTGAGGACCTCAGAGGGGTTGTCCTGTCTGAATACCCGGCAGGGGGGGAAGGCTGACCTCCTTTTTACAGAATATCCTTTTGAACCTTTTGGAGTGACATACCGTATGCATATAGATAATGTAACCATATTCATGTAGATGGTAATTTCAACCTACTGCCTGCAGGGCTAGCATTTGTAACAGATATCTTGGCACCCATTACCCCTAATCTCCCATAGTTCCTACATACAAACGCCCCTTCCAGCCAGAGCCTACCAACTACCCCTCTGATGTAGGCCTGGGACATGCGCACTCTCTCTAAAGGGCCAGAGAGTAAATATTTTGGGCTGTGTGGGCCATGTGGTCTCTGTTGTAACTACTGAGAGTGGCCACTGTAGTGTGAGGCAGTCATAGACAATGTGTAAATAAATGAATGTGGCTGTATCTCAATCAACCTTTGTTGTTGTTGTTTTTTGTTTTTGTTTTTTGAGACAGAATCTTGCTCTGTCACCCAGACTGGAGTGCAGTGGCGCAGTCTCAGCTCAATGCAACCTCCACCTCCCGGGTTCAAGGGATTCTCCTGCCTCAGCCTTCCAAGTAGCTGGGACTACAGGCATGCGCCACCATGCCTGGCTAATTTTTGTACTTTTAGTAGAGACGGGGTTTCCATGTTGGCCAGGCTGGTCTCAAACTCCTGACCTCAAATTATCCGCCTGCCATAGCCTCCCAACGGGCTAGGATTACAGGCGTGAGCCACCGCACCTGACCTGGATGCTGAAATTTGAATTTTATATAATTGTTACTTGTCATGAAATATTATTTATTTTTCCAACCATTTAAAAATGTAAAAGTTAATTCTTAAGTCATGGCTTGTACAAAAACAGGTGGTGGGCCAGATGTGGCCCACAGGCCAAAATTTGCCAACTCCTGTGCTAGGTCATTTTTACCTCTGCCTTTGGCTCTCACTGGGACCTCTCCCCATCCTCTGAGGCCTAGTTCAATCATGCGTCCTTTAAGAAGCTTCGCCAGCCATCCCAATCCCTGGGACTTCTTCCTCTCTGATTGTCTGTAACACTCAGTTAAATCATTTCATGTTTTGTTGTTGCTGTTTTGTTGTTGTTTGTTTGTTTGAGATGGAGTCTCACACTGTCGCCCAGGCTGGAGTGTAGTGGCATGATCTCGGCTCACTGCAAGTTCCGCCTCCCGGGTTCATGCCATTCTCCTGCCTCAGCCTCCCGAGTAACTGGGACTACAGGTGCCTGCCACGCCCAGCTAACTTTTTGTATTTTTTTTTTAGTAGAGATGGGGTTTCATCGTGTTAGCCAGGATGGTCTCAATCTCCTGACCTCGTGATCCGCCCACATCAGCCTCCCAAAGTACTGGGATTACAGGTGTGAACCACCGTGCCCAGCCTTAATATATCCTAAAAACATCTCCCCAACTAGATTATAAATTCCTCAAGGTCAAAAGGTATATATTTTAACCTAAGTTAAAATAAATAAATAAATAAATAAATAAATAAAAATGTATATATTCTATTTCTTTGGTTTTCCCGTAAGGCCTAACAGTTCTACAATATTTAGTAGAAGAAATTAAGGAAGGCCAAGTACCGGCTGCAAAGGTCAACTTAAATCTCATTGCAAGGCTCCATTTCCAGCCTAGGAAAAGCAGTGGTCTTCCTGTCCCTGCCCCACAGGGTCAGCATCGCTGGCAGGTGGGGCTGTCTCCACCTGAAGCCTGTCTTCTGTGCTTGATGGCCATAAAAGGATGCTGCCTGCCACCAGGCTTCTGGAAGAGGTGAGGGAACAACCTATCCCGAAGAATGGATCTTACAGACCCAGATAAATTGCTACAATACTTGCCTGTACCAGTTAACTGCCATTTCTCTTCCCATATGGAAAAGGGTGTCATCAAGAATAATCCATGGCAACTGACAATTAGCAAATATTTTCTGCTTGCCTTGGAAATGTGTTGTTAGTGTTTTCATTGCAATAGGGATGTCTTCAACATTTAGGAAATCCTTCATTTCCCATGGCAGAGAAGCCTGACTTAGAATAAGAAAGCAAGCTGTCACACCTGGTCTGTCCCCTTTGGGTCCTACCTGGCTCCCCACTTCATGCGGGGAGTGAACTGCCTCACCCCTCAGGAACAATGAAAAACATCTGCCCAGGCCAAGCACAGTGGCTCACGCCTGTAATCCTAGCACTTTGGGAGGCCGAGGCTGGTGGATCACCTGAGGTCAGAAGTTTGAGACCAGCCTGGCCAATATGGTGAAACCCTATCTCTACTAAAAACACAAAAATTAGTGAAGTGTGGTGGCGGGTGCCTATAATCCCAGTTGCTCGGGAGGCAGAGGCAGAAGAATCGCTTGAACCTAGGGGGCAGAGGTTGCCGTGAGCCAAGATCACGCCACTTCACTCCAGCCTGGGTAAAAGAGTGAAACTCCGTCTCAAAAAAAAAAAACATCTACCCCAAGGTAGCTTTGCATTCAGAGCAGAGCACTCCTGCCTGATACCAGGAAATAAAGGCTTACCAACCCTTTTCTTCCTGTCCCTGCTGGGCTAGAGAAAACCTAAAGCCTCTACCACCAAAGCAGCTGAGCCCAGTAAGTGAGAATGTCAACAAGAACTTAACGTCCAGCTGTGTCTGTATCTGTAGCTGTAGCTGTCCTGGAGAAAGAGAATCCAGTTGTCCAGAGCATGTGTCTGATTGCCACAGATCCTTGCAAGCCCTCAGCAGGACACCGTGTCCATGCTCATTATTCTGCTCATCCACATCTGGGTGTCGGCTGTGTGCCCTGCTCTAGGGGACAGCTGGAGACTTCACCACTTCCTCCATTAGCTCATCAAATATTCATGGAGCATCTGCCGCATCTGGGCGGCATCTGGGACCTCAGAGCTTGCAGGAGCAGTCCCTCCATGAGACCTCCCCTACGAGCCGCGGAGAGATCCTCAGCCGCCTTTGGGATGTTCATTTTATTAGGCCATGGCTAGTTATTTGAGTCACTAGAATTTCCATTTGAGAGGAAAGGGCCTGTTGGATAGGCGCTCCTCAGAAAGGACCAAGCGTGCAGCTGGGGGCAGATGCTGCTGCTACTAAACAGAAACTGCAAGCTCCTGAAAGGGACTGTTTTCTTGCTACGCATCACCCACCATTTCTTTTCTTTTCAGACAAAATCTTGCTCTGTCGCCCAGGCTGGAGTGCAGTGGCTCGATCTCGGCTCACTGCAACCTCCACCTCCCAAGTTCAAGTGATTCTCGTGCCCCACCCTCTGAGTAGCTGGGATTACAGGCACAGGTCACCATGCCAGCTAATTTTTTGTATTTTTAGTAAAGACAGGGTTTCACCACGTTGGCCAGGCTGCTTTCGAACACCTGACTTCAAGTGATGCGCCTGCCTCAGCCTCCCAAAGTGCTGGAATTACAGGCATGAGCCACCGCACCTGGCCTATACTTTTCAATATATGTTCTTTTTAAAAATAACAAGCTGGGTGGCCGGGCACAGTGGCTCACGCCTGTAATCCCAGCCTTTGGGAGGCCAAGGCGGGCAGCTCACCTGAGGTCAGGAGTTTGAGATCAGCCTGGCCAACATGGTGAAACCCCATCTCTACCAAAAATGCAAAAATTAGCCAGGTGTAGCAACACGCTCCTGTATTCCCAGCTACTTGGGAGGCCGAGGCAGGAGAATCGCTTGAACCTGGGAGGCGGAGGTTTCAGTGAGCTGAGATCACGCCACTGCACTCCAGCCTGGGTGACAGAATGAGACTCCATCTCAAAATTAAATAAAAAGTAATAATAGTGAAATAACAGGCTGGGTGCAGTGGTCCATGCCTATAATCCTAGCACTTTGGGAAGCCAAGGTTGGGGGATTGCTTGAGGCCAGGCATTCAAGACCAGCCTGGTCAACATAGTAAGACCCCATCTCTACAAAAAATTTAAAAATTAGACAGGCATGGTGGTGTGTGCCTGTAGTCGTAACTACTCAGGAGGCTGACATGGGAGATTCACTTGAACCCAGGAGTCCAACGCTGCAGTGAGCTATTTTTGTGCCACAGCTCTCCAGAGTGACAGCCTGTCTCCAAAAATAAGTAAATACATACATACATGCCTTTCTTTCTTTTTTTTTTTCTGAAAACATTGTAATTATAAAACTTT